AGGCTGAGTGGCAGTCAGCCCCGAGCCAGCCTGCCTTGTTCCGGGGCATCCCCACTTCCCACGCCCAGGCCAGGCCCCAAGGTCGCCTGGAGGCAGACCCCACCAGAGAGATGCCACTGAGCTTACCGCAGCCATTCCACCTGCTGCCCTGCCTGTCAGGACAGGCAGCAGCCCCGCGAGGGACCTCGTGGGCATGACGTGTGTCCCCGGAGCACGGGTCACCGGGCACGCGTCACTTAGAGGCACCGCAATTCAGCACGGCTCCCCACACGGGTGCCATCAGGACAAGCAGCAGTCCTGCGAGGCCGGAGCGCATGTCACCGGAGCACGCGTCATTAGAAGGCAGCGGACACGGGCCTTCTCCAGCAAGCCCGACTGGAAGCTGGACAAGACCCTGCCTGGGCTCCGACCCGAGTGAGCGTGGGGAGGACAGGCCGCCAGCTGGCTTCATTTCCAACGTCAGATCCCCAAGTGAAACCTGAAAAGACACTCGTGTGTCGTCGGGTGAAAGTGGAGTGCAGGCTGACTCGTAACCGCAGACCCTGGGCATCCCGTGGGCCCCGGGCCAAGAGGGGTGTCTGTGGTCTCCTCACACTCCCACAGCCACTGTCGTCACCCTCACCACAGGACACCGGCGGGTGGCACTTGGCCCCTCAGTGACACATTAGGGGTCCTCTCCGTGACCATGCACGGCTCCTGTGTAAGGCAAAACCTGCCTGTGCCCCCACCCCGCCCGGCCCAGCTGCCCAGCACAACTGCACGACCACACATCCACGCACACTCACCCCCGTGCCGCAGTGTCCCATAACGCGGGCCAGGGCGGCACTCTGGGACGCGCACACACAACCCCAGCCTCCCCGTGATGCCACTGCCCTCTGAAGCCACACAGGACGCCCGTAGCGGGAGTCAGGTGGGAGACGCTGTGGGCCGGCCTGGGAACGCACACCCTGGGGGTGAGGGTCGGAGCTCGGACAGGGACACAGGAGCGCTGGCAGCAGCTCTGGGTCGGAGAACAGACAGGCCCTCGTGGCCCGACCTCTCCCCTTCCGTCCCTCACAACTGCCCGCCAGGCCAGTCGCCTGCCCCTCCACCCCTGCTCAGGGCCCTGCACCGCAGGCCTTCTGCCTGGAGGGCGCGGTCCCAGATGTGCGCAGGCTGGCGCTCCCCGCTCACTCCTGGGCTCCGGGAGGCGAGGCGGCCCACGAAGCAGCCACACAGCTTTCTCCCCCTCCCCCCCCAGAGTCTGCATGCTCGTTCCTCTGTGGCTTGAGACCTCCCTCCCTGTACCCACTTTTCCCAGAGCGAAGACCTGCCTCCCTGGAGCTCGGCCACCACGCCCAAGACAGAGCCGGCACAGGGCGGCATCCCAGAGCCACCCAGGGGTGAAAGAAGAGTTGAGGCCAGACACAGACCAGGCGCAGAGGGTCGGCACAGGCAGAGCGGAAGCAGGACAGACACACAGACACAAGACACGCACCGGCCTCTCTCTACTGCCCAGCAGATGCCACTTCCCTAGAAAACCACGTGTGCGTGCAAGCCCCCCGAACACACTAACCTCTGCCTCCGCCACGCTGCGGCGCTGGGGCCACGTAACAATGTAAGAACAGCAGACACCAGGCAGGACGGGGCTCAATCCCCCTTGTTCTCCCACCCGTCCGAGCTGCAGCAGGCAGGCCGCCCTGCTCCATGCACGGACACAGAGGAGCACAGACGGACACAGGGCTAGGAAAGGTGGGGGTGGGGGTTCCCCCATTTGGTCTCCATCAGATGCCCCTGTCAAAAATCACTTCAAGGGAACCAGCAGTTAGCGTAATGGCTGTGTCGCTGGACTCCCACGTAGTCGACCACGGTTCGCATCCCGGACCCGGTGGCTTAAACTCACGCCGGGTGCGTGTGCGTGCGTGCCCAAGATCCCGAGAGGAGAATGGAGGAGAAGGGATTGCGGCGTGGCCATCCTCCCTGGGGGGTGATTTCTCGCTTTCTGTCTCTATGTCTCTCTCTGTCTGGTGAGCGCACACGCCCTATAGCAAAAAAACCTCTTCAAAAAAAAAAAAGGTCACTTCAAAAACACCTGGGTAGTAGGGCCGGCAGGTGGCGTGGTGTTTGGGTGCACTGGACTCCCACATGGCCGACTGCAGGTTTGAGTCCTGGACCGAGCAGCTTGCTTTCGCACGTTCTCTCTCTCTCTCTCTCTCTCTCTCTCTCTCTCTGTCCCTGTCTCTCACTCTGTCCCTCTCTCGTCAAATTAAAATAAGTAAATAAATAAAGTAAAATAATTCTTAAAAAAAAAAAATCTGGGTAGCATTTCCTGCCCTTATAAAGAAATTGCATTTTCATTTCACCACTTTGGGCCCAAGGATGAAAACAATACTTCTGTGGGAACAGCAGTCAGCGTAACGGCTATGTTGCTGGGCTCCCACGTAGTCGACTGCGGTTCGAGTCCCAGACCCAGTGGCTTAAACTCAGGCCGGGCACGTGTGCGTGCGTGCCCAAGATCCCGAGAGGAGAATGGAGGAGGGACTATGGTGTGGCCAACGTCCGGGAAGTGATTCCTCATTTCTGTCTGAGTCTCTCTGAGTCTCTCAGTCTTTCTGGTGAGCACACGTGCCCTATAGCAAAAGCTCTCCAAAAAATAAAATCAACAACACTTCTCTCTTAGGTCTACGAAGACCACACGGCCACTGTGTGTGGGGTCACCATCGTGCTGGGTCCCTCAGCTGAGACCTGTGGGCCTCCTGCTCCACCATGACTTCTCCACTTGCGAACTCGAACTTTCTGTGAAGGTAACCCAAACACGTCAGCAGCCGCGCCTGTGGAGGATGCCACCCTCCCGACCGCCTCGCCCCTGACGCCTCTCTGACATGCGTCCTCCCCACGGCACGGTGCTTGCACACGCCCATCCCGCTCGTGCCCCTCGGCACAGGCCTGGCAGAGCTCTGGCGTGTGAGTGTCCGCGGGTGGCAGGGGCTCTGGCCTTTGAAAATCAGAAACAATATCCTTTTGGATGCAGC